GAGCAATGTATATAAATTTTTGTGTAACGAAGACATAACGAAAGTGAATGAAATATGTATAAATGACCAAATAAGGTCAATCGATAAAATTCATTTTTTGATCGTGTATATTCGTCGCAATAAAAATTTATTTTTAATAATTATGAATTACAATTAATTTTGAATTTTGAATTTGAAAAAAAAAATATCATAGAATACAATTAAAATTTATGATATACAAAAAAATAATAAAAAGTAATTTTTTTTTATAAATATCTAATTAAGATGACAAATGAATTGAAATGAAGATGAAAAAATAATACTAAAAATAAAAAAGCACAAATGATAAAACAATATAACTCGTTGCAATGAAATTGAAAATTGAATGCATAGTAAATGAAATATAAATATGCAAGTTGAAACATTAAAATCAACTTGAGGAGATCCGGAAATGTCTTCTAAAGAGTTCAAAGACCTTTTGAACAGAAATAATTGCACTTTAAATTAGCGTCGGAAAGCAGTCCAAGATTGCATTAATTGTGATTAATAGTGGACACTCGTTAAGTAATACATTGTACATACATTGTATGTACAATGTATTCAGCGAATTTTGTACTACTAAGTACAATCTGAAATACTAAGGAAAACTATTGCTATTACTATATCTAATAAGAATAAAATTATAATTTTTTAAATAGAATATATACAGAAAATCATTATGTTTATTATAGTTAAAGGAAACTTCGTTAATTTTATTAAATCAATATTATTCGATATTTAAATTTATCCTCAACATTTTCATTGATATTTTCTTCTTCACACATAGTTATCTTATTTAAGTAAAGGTTTCCTTTATCCAATTATATGAAGGAAAGCGTAATTTTCATTCACCGTGAAATTATAAAAGTGTTAAATATCACAAGTGCGAAAAAAAAAAAAGATAAGACGAATCGATATCAGCAATCTCTATAGTTAATCGCGATCAATTATGTCCATGCGATATTAGTAACGTTGTCATTTGTGCAAACAAACCACATCTGTTCGTAAAAGAAGAAGAAACGTGGTACTCGAAATGATATCTTGAGTTAAATTTAATTTTATAGAATTACTTAAAAAATAAAAAAAAAATTTTAAATTTCTATTATTTATAATGTAACGAAAAAAATAAAAATCTCTATAAAATATTATTATGATTAAAAATTAATCGTTAATAATTATTAATGATAATTAACATTAAAAAAAAAAACATTTTTAACCTTGCCATCTTTTTAAAAAGAAAATAAAAAAAGGAATATTGTAATACCAAAATTTGCAAAAATTCGTTCGATTAATTATTATTATGTTAATTATTCTAACTAATTACAGCGTCTTAGGGATTATTTAAAAACTCAATGCGCGATTAAGCAAGAGATATCAAGGTGTAAGTATATACGAGTGTGTCGCGAGGAATCGATCAAAGAGAAACATCGCCGGCAGACAGGCGTGCATTCCGGTTCTGTAATTGTATGCATACGTTCATACATGCACGCAAATGAACACGAACGACGCGTTCCTTGCACGCAGGGCCCCGATCGGGAGACCGCCAACTATCAATTTCCGTTTTGAATTACCAAACGCCATAACGCATGCACGCGCCGCTCAAACGAATCTCCGGTCTTCTCTGGCATAACAAGCCTCCTACTAAGAAACGCATCGATGCACTTTTCTTTGCTAATAAGACACCTCCTTCTTCCTTTTGTTCATAAATTTTAGACCAATGATAAATCAGTTACAATCATTCCAAAACTTTTTAACGTTCGCCAATTCTTGAAATCTGTAAGTAGATAGACTTATCTTAAAGTAGATAAACTTATTTTATAAAGCTTTAAATATAATAATTTATTTAAATGTTTTAAGAAATTTAAAAGTCATGCAATTTAGAGATTTAAACATAACTGATATTAAATTATGATTAAATTATTTTCGCGATTTAAAGATTATATTGTTTATGTTGTATTATTAACTAATAATTGCAAATGATTTATGAATTTGTTGAAAATACCATTGATTGATTGTAATGTTAAGATAATACAATTTATTTTCAAGAAATCTAATAATTTAATGTTAACGGATCAAATATGAAAAAAAAATAGAAAATAAATATAATAAAATATAGATATAAATTATTTTTATGTATCTTATTTAAATTATTTATTAAATTAATATAATATTTTATATGTTAAAATTAATATAAAAATAAAAGTTATTAGAAAAATTAAAAAGTTAGAATAAAGAATTTGAGAATCACTGGGCATCCCTGGCCTTACGTAATCATGCTGCACCCACTCGTTTTACTATACTATGGTCTGACCGTAATCTGTCAATTTACTTTTGACAGTATTCCCGCAACGGAAATCCGATGCAACGCACCTTGCGATTTACATATTTGATACATTTTCTAATCATTAAATTCATTTATCAAGGTAATAAAAATGGAAGATTGCGTAATGATTAATCAGAAATGAGATTATACTGTTTTTGAATCTTTTCTGAAAACGTTTGACGGAAATTGAATCGATCGGTTCATATTTATACAATTTGAATCATTCTACTAATAAATTCAATTCAAAGATATATATATATATATAAAGTATTTATTTAATCATTTTTTTCAAATTTATTATTTAAACAGTGAGTAATATTTAAATAGTAATATATTAATTGTTTTTCAATATAAAATTAAAATCAATCTTTTTTTTTCTTGTTTTAAAACAAAAATTACAAAGATGTAATATAATAATATTGAAATCCATGAAGTAAAATCGATAATGTAGCTAAATATTACTATTGAAAATTTGATTTAAATCCATTAAATATTTTAAGCTATTAATATATATATTAAATAATTTAAATATATAAAACTTAAATTTTATATAAATTTCAACTCTATTATAAATTATTCTTTATTGTCTAAAAAAATACTTGAAATACAAGAATTGAATCTATTGCATTTTTTGCGAGTATCAATTTGACACGCTTAATTATGAATTATATGATATTACTCACAAAACATTAATAACAAAGGTTAATAATTTCATTAGAATGTATGGTCACATGATGTAGAAATAATTGCCATTACATCATTCATTTATAAAAATTATATATTCACATTTCTGTAAATTTTTTGAATATTTTACCAAAGTTAGTTATTATACAATTATTTTGATAGTTTAAATTCAAGATAATTTTCTTTGTATTGGGAAACGAATTATCCGCCATTTCAATGAATCGAAGGTACCACGATAAAAATATTCAAATTATTTGTATTTTCAATTTTAGATTATTAATGTTTAAAAAATATCTAACCAATATTATTAAAAATAACTATATTCTAAAAACTAATTTATAGTTTAAATTATGAATAATCTATTTGATTACACCAAATTGGTATACGCGATCGATCTTTGTCTAACCTAAAAACCGGTTGGCACAGGATAATGTATAATAGCCCCAGAGAAAATCGAAGATCATTTAGATAATGAATCATTATTTAAGTATGCAGTATATTAAGTCAAAATTTTTATAGTTTTGCTAAATTAAAACAAACGCATCGTGAAAACAAATTAAGCCGATTCCTAACGGTCACAGTTCATCGTTCAACTGTTTATTGATATCGTCTCTCCAAAATATTTCTCATTTGATTATATCTCTCGTAAGTATTATATTCTTTATAATATAATATAATCAAATAATATTCAAACAATCACAAAAAATAATCACAATATATTATATATCCGATAAATTTTGATTTTCTATTCACATCGGCATAATATTCATAGCATGTTTAAAGAACAAGATCTTATGTTCCATAGAATAAAGTGAAAAAACATATTGCTTACCTTTGGCAGACAAAAGAAAATTGAAGTGTTCTGAGTTACTCCTCGAGGCACGTCGTACGCGAACACGAGTCGGAAACGAAGTGGCGCGGAATCAACTCGCCTCGCGACAGCCGAGAACCTCTCCTCTCTGCCTCGGCCAATCACATCCCTCCTTTGTACATATCCCCTCTTCACTCCTCAATCCTCTCCCAGGGACGGTTCGCGGTCCAGCCACGTTCCTCTGTTCCGTTGTTTCTACGAGGGTTTCTTGGTTGCTACCTCGACTTTTTTCGTCCTAATTATTATTCTCCGTCACATTCTTGCAGAAAGAAATAAAAGATGATCGAATATACAGTAAGTTTTAGAAATCTCTATTATGAATCTCGATAAAGCGTTTATATTTGGATTTATGATGAATATTTGATGCTTGTAAAAATTATTGGAATAAATAACGAAAATGATTAAAATTATCATTTTTTCAGGAACACTTAAAAACAATTTTTTGAAGATAAGAATGGATATAGAAACTATTTCCTGTATTTTAATGATCATTCGTCGATTTCGATATAATAATTGTTGATGGAAATTATCGATACTACGATCGATGGAATTGAAAATAAGCTAAGTTCAGCTTGGACTACACGAAGAGTTGAATATTTATAAAAGTTTGATAGACATATAAAATACATATAAAAAAATAGATTTTTTGATTTTAACTGGATAATAGAATTTCACTTTTTTCATTTAATTCTTTTTTATGCTACTAACATAAAACAAATTTGCTATATTTTTCAATAGACGATGCAGCACAATGTGCACAATCGATAATCGATCTAGTTTAATTATACGATCAGTATGTCGAAGTCAATGGCCTCGAAACAAAGAACCGACATAAAAAAAAGATAACTATTCAATTGTTACCCACCTTGAAAGGTATAACAGAATCTTTTTAATGCTTTTTTTCGATAAAAATCAAACACAGCTCATATTCTAATTCAATTATGGCTCATTTAGCAAAGAATAACTATATTAATCAAGATCTATTATCACTGTAAAGGAAATAAAAAAAGAAACATAGGAAATAATTAATGCCAGAAAAATAATTGCAAATAAAAATTATTTTTAATTATATTATATTTCAAATAAAAAGATTGTAACAAAATTCATTATACTTTGAAAATTATATTTATTATTATTAATTATTATATTATTATTATATTATATTTTGAAAGAAAAAAAAATTGTTCCAAGCCAAACTATTCCAGTTTAATAAAACAATGCAACATTCTCTTACAGAAGACAAGGTATGCTCTCAATTTTATGAATCATAGCTCTGATAAAACATAGTTAAGTCGTTTTTCTATTATTCGTATAAAAACGAACAAGTTCAATGATCTGAAAAATCACTTGTAGAAATTATATTCTATATGATCGAATCGTAATGAAATATGGCTATATTATCTATACTCTTTATATTTATTCAATGTTTTACCTTTAATCAATCTCTATACAAATATAAATGTAATAGTCTATAAATAACAGATGCCATATTCTCACCTGAGCTTCTTCAGCCGATTATGACGTCGTGTTTGTTGACCGTGACACAATACGCCTGTAAAAATGTAATCTTCTTTTGGTGTCTGCCTCTGTTTAATTCTGCTGTCTCCCTACATTTTCTGAGACCATAAAAATGATGTTACTTTTAGCATCATTCTAACTTGAAAATTACTTTATAAAAATATTCAAATAATTTTTTATTAATATATTCTGTATTATTCGAATAATTAATAATCTTATATATTTCAAATTTCATAAAATTGTTTATTGTGATATATTTTTTTTCTTTAAAGTTCCAGCGAATCATTTAATTTATTCAAAAAAATGCAATTTTTTTTAAGTGTTAAATTTGTTAAATTTGAAACGAATAAATTTTATATAAAATTACATTAGAATATAATAATTTTTAAATACTTTAAATATAAAATTTATTAATTCTGATTCAGAAATTTTTGTTTGTAAAATATTCAATATTTGTACATTGTTTATGTACAAATAAACTTTCAGAATATTTTACAGTTATGCAGTCAGTCCGTTTCCGTATTGTTCCCTGAATTTCCTAGAATATATAGATCACTGAACGTTTCCGGAGAACGGTGAAACTCCGGGAGTGTCGCTTGGTCGTTACGAAATCAGCTGTGCGCCTGTCGGTGCTTGTTGTAGGTCGCGTTCAGGACTCCCCTCGACTTCCCTCGTTGCTCTATTCCTCTCATTTCATCCAACAGGCTAGAAGTTAGAAGAGAGGGGATATTAAAGGTCGCCGCAACGTGGAGATCAATACGAAACCTACATACCTACCTTCCCTATCGGGCCAATGGGAATGTCTAAAATGATCCTTCTCCTTAAATCTATCAAATTTTTCTCCTTCTAAGGCAACCAATTTATCATAATTTTCTAATCTATGAAATCTAATATAATTATGATCCTTCGTAAATTTATTAACTACTTTCTTGTTTTTAAATTGCTAATTTATTAAAATTATCTTTTACAATACAATGTTTTTCTAAGTTTCAGATATTCAGTTATAATAGACTAGCATGAATTGAATACCTATAGATTTTATAATAAGTGATAATTTAATAAGGTGAATTGTTATAGAGATGTTTATTTGAATAAGTGTTTAACATAATAATCACATTTTGGAAGATTTAGTGTGATGCACAATCTCTTTGTTTTTCTTTGATATGTAAGAATATATATAAAATTTTTTAAATCTTTCTTTTAATTATGATATATGTTTTAAAATTATTAAATTATATATGATTTTCAGTCATAAATTTATCTTAAGAATATAAATATTCAATAGAAATACAATTAATATTTATTAAATGAGATTCTTTGTTTTCTATTAAAGATAAACTTGGAAAATTAACATTCTTAAAATTTTTTAAAATTACATATATAATTTTGACTAATTTAATTATTTTTTATGTTAATAAACCAATCAGCTGTTATCAATATCTTTATTAGAATTAAATATACTATATATATAATTTAATTTTTGATAAATTCGTAATTAGAATTAGAGAATATATTTTTAAATAAGTTTCACTTCTTCTTCTGATTTCACTTTCCAGTCAATGTCAGTCAGTGACGGCCAACATGGAAACTTATTATCCGTAATCGATATGTCTGAAAATCGATCGGTTTCAAGGAACGATTATTGTGTTCGAGGAACGTATACATATAATTAGCAACAACGGCTTCAACAAGAAAGTTACCGATTGAAATTGAAACAAAAAATGAAGACAACTTTGCATTGGGATTATTATTAAAAATATTCTAAAAATTCTATCTCACCAATATAATACATTATCGTCATTAGAAGAATTATGTAATGCTTTGAGTTGGCCAGTCTGGTTGGGTTGATGAGGAAAGTTGCGTCAATGGCCGGGAGGAAATTACTTTTCCTCGTCCGTTATTTTTATCCTGAGAAGTGTTTTATGCCGTTTCCACAGTTATGGTTTAACGAGAACCTGTCTCTTTCATTTAGCTCCTATGAATAATTCGTTTTATCAAAATTAAAATATATAATTATATATTATAAATTCTTTTAAAATTTTTTTAAAATTAATATTTACTATTTTATTGATTATTAATTAAACTATTTAAAGAAATTAAACATATGATGATAAAACTTTAAAATTGATAATCAGTAATAGAAATTGATATTGGATAGATAAATATATAGTTTTATTGGTGTGATAAAGATTAGAAATCAAGATTTCGCTTTTCATGTTTATCTGTTCACTTTTAATAAGTGCTAATATGATATTAAAAAAAATTTCAGAATGGATTTCAAAATTTAATATTAATATACAAATTATTAAAATGAAAATATTAATGCAGTACTATTATTGAATATAAAATATATAATATATATAAATATATAAAAAAAATATATAAAATATTAATATAATTTTTATTCATATTTTCAAATTTTGATAAGAAATAAAAATACATATAATATGATAGAATACAAAAAAAATAAAAGGAAAAAATTAAAAAAAAATAAGACTAATAAACTAACAAAAAATAAGATATAATATTATTTAAAAAAGCCATTGATGACCTTGAAATTTATAAAGTGACCTTGGTATTTATAAAATACCTCTAATATAAATATTCTTCTTATACTTTTCTCATCTAATCGTATTATTGCATTACAAACTATAACTGTAAATATTATGTTACAAGTCTCAATTACATAAATTATTAATATCCACATTGAATATACGTTATACCATTCTTTTAATGTGCATAGGAACTTGATATTCTAGTTTCATTTTCTAAACGTTCTAGGCTATAATTACAATACAAATACCTATATCCATTATCTTATCAATATGTAATATATATATAATATATATATATTCGTATCATTTTTCTTAAAGAAAATTATACATATATAAAATTAAAAATTACTACTTGGATTGCAGTCATAGAAATCCGGCATTAAATACCACAATAACCATGTTAAATCGCTACGCTGCCTCAAGAGACTTACAATTTATCGCGTGACTGGCACCAAGTATGACAAAGATTTCTCATCCAGTTTTTCAATGCTTGACATCAGCAACTGTTAGAAAAAAAAAAACTATTTTTACAAGAAATGGAAGAATGAAAAATGAAGAAATAGAATGGAAAACAAAACTAAAAATCCTTTGTCTCATAAAGGTATGAATACTGATTGAAAATACTGATTTTTGATTCCATTGACTAAGGGCAGTTCTCAATGTCAATGTCTCAGTATTGGTCGAGCACCACTGCTTCTTTCGTAATTTCGACACGTACGCCACGAGGAGATCAGTTACCGCTGATGGCCACCTTGCTTGTTTATTACATAATGTTGGTCGACAATTTTGCCATGCCAGATATACTTGTTTTCCGTAGAAAAACGGCCGGTCGCGCCAAGATTATTCGTTGGCACTTCGAAGGAGGAAAACATCAGCCAGACCGCTTCCTTATCGATCTTTCGCCGCAATCTTTTATCGTTTTCGTTGAATTAATATTAATGCTTCGATATGTGTATGTAATAATTCCTATTTGGAGATAGTTAACATTCTTCTTAATGAGAGTTTCAGGCAATTTCACTGTTTGATTATTCTTTTCATTTTCATTAGATAGAAGTAACACTGATATGTTAATATTGAAAATAAATAATTTTAGTGTGATGTAGTAAAAGAAATATATAGAGAATAAATATGTTAAAATTATTCTAAAAAAATCTTTATTTTTCTTTAATACTAAAAAATAATTATTAAATTCATGATAATATAAATCGTGATAATGAATATTTTACATATAGATTTGCACAACTTAAAACAGTTAAAACTTAAAACTTCACATTTTAATGAAATGAAGCCTCATAAAAACTATGATGATTGACACGTAAAAATTTTGTATGATATTAGATAAGATTATTATGTAAACGTGACCAATATATCTTCTTTATATGTTTTTATTATAGCATATTTTATATTAATAATTTGAAAAATGAAAGAAATATTAGGATAATTTGGAAAATGAAAAAAATAAAATGAAAATAAAAAATTCAAGCAACAATCATAATTTTTAAAAAATTTTTAAAAATATAAACTTGTTTAATCTTGGAACAAAAGATTGAAACTTGAAAATAATTTAAATAAGTTTTTAAATTTTAAATATATTTATAATATTTACTCATCTCTTTTTATTTAAATTAATTTTTAAGAAAGTATAAAAAAATTAAAAACATTTTTAATTTTACTCTTAAATCTGTCTACGACAACTTGGTGAACTCATTCAAATCAATTGATGAGGTCGAGTTGATACATAGCCAATGAAATTAGCTAGTAGGCAATTAAGCGCATCATTGAACAAATCCTAACAAGCTTGTCACTGTTGATAGACGCAAACTATAGTTGAAAGAAATTCTACTTAACGTTAATTTTTTCATCGGCTTTGTTAATAATAATTATATAATCAGTAATAATTATGTATCTTATGCATCTTAAATTTAATTAGATTTTATAATATAACTATTATAAAAATATATAATATAACTATTATAAAAAAGAAATATTGAATTTAATATTTTTTTTAATTATAATATTATGCTTTATTATATTATTTTTCACTTAAAATCCAATTAATTAAGATCAAAATGTAATACTAAAATTTAAATTTTTATCTTAAAAAAATAAAATTATATTTAAAATTCAACTTTTGAAAGAATGCAAAAAAAAAAATTTTTTCAGTTTTCCAATTGAAGAAAAAAAAATATAATATTACACTTGAATTATTCTTAAGATTATCATTCACAATTTGTCATTGAATATATCTTTGTTAAAGCCTTAGTAAAATCATTAAACAAACCAAGTTAAATACGTATATATATTATCTTGATGAAAAGTTCACAAATAATCGACGATGCATATGTGCTCAATCCATTACCTCAAAAGACTGTATATCTCTTACGCAAAACGCAATTATCTTAGCAGTCGAGCAGGGCTTAAATTTAGCGAGGAATTTCGCTAAATCGACGGGACGCAAAAGCTGAAGGGCCCTGCTGGTGCTGGGACTGAAATACACGAGGGTTAAACGACAAAATCCTCGAATTGTTTCTCTATGTATTGTTTTTTATTCTTCATTGCTGCATATAGCACAGTAAATATAAATCTTCTTAACCGGTGGTATAGTCGGACATGCAATTCCACTATAAAACTATATATTTTTAATATTTTAATAATTTTATAGAATATCATTATCATTTTCAATTTTCTTTATACTAAAATTTTGGAAAATCGAAGATAAATTAAATAGATGGTTCTAATCAAAATTTAAAATAGAATTTTGAATTTTTAAAATAAATAATCTAGGTTTTAATAAGATACATACGATGGATATAAATAATTAATGTTATATTAATTCCTTTGTTAATTACATATTTTGATACGAATGCACATCTATAAATTATATAATTTATATATATTTCAAATAATTTTGATTGATTTATTGACAATTATAATTTTTGATTTTTAAAATGTTGTAAAAAATATCAAAAATATATTTCTTTCCATTAAAAATTTAATTAATCATAATGTATATCAGAAATAAATACATTTTTTCCAAATCCAAATTTCATTCAAATTACAAATGAAAATTACGAATGATAAATAATATTAAATTAATTATTTATTTATATTAATAATGATAATTAATATTTTCTGTATACCAGTATATATTAGATCAATAGAATAACAAGAAATCTCATAAGTATTTGGATATAGTTGTTATATTTTTATATATACCTAGTAATTGGCTGCAATACAATTACAACATGGATTTTCAAGCCGTGGATCGCAACTCCCAAGATAACCATCACAATTACTTCTATTTCCAATTATTTATATAGAAAATTTTATAATGAAAAATTTTTAATATTTATTTATTTTGGCATACCTACAAATAAACAGAAGTGATTTATCATCTATTATAGCAGATATTGAAACAAATACTAAACATTCATTTTACATTTTTCATATTTCTTTCTCATTTTCACCTGTGTATGTAAATATATAAATGAAATTTTATACTCAGATATTTTATCCTATTAAAAATGCGTGTTTATTTAATTGCGAGAAGAAAGATATTTTTATTCAGCTGTTATAAAAGGGAATTTACCTCAGAAATATATTGGGAATCACTGCTTTAAAGCATTTATGTCGCAAGGGATATCATCTCTTTTAAGACATCGCTCCCTCGCTGCAGCAGTGGCCGTGAAATCGACTACGTCGACCATTCTAAAATCGTGCCAGAATTTCTTGCCAATTGGAGCTCCATCCTGTCTACCTGCGTAAACTACTACCCCGTGGATTTTTCTTTCTTTTCCTTCGCTAACAAAATTTCGATACCGGAGGATGGAACGAAGCGTTGACTCCTTGAGAATTAGCCAAGGAACTTGATATCGCAAGGTTTTATTTCTGCGATTAAGGCTTGCCTCGTTGCACAATTGCAGCGTTTAAAAATTTAAAAATTTTTTTATTATTATATTTAAAAAAGATTGACGAAAAGGAGAGATATAAAGGCTAATGAATAAAGTTTAGATTCATCTAATAATGATGGATGGAGATGTTTTTATATGTCTTTTCAAATCATGTTAGTAGATTGCGAAGAACATGGTTAAGATAGAAATTAAAGGAATTAATTTTTTACATATTTAATCGACAAGTGTGATCGTCACTTATCATTTCGTATTTTTTTTTTTTATCTTTCGATAAGATTCGAAAGTTTAAGCAAATGTTTCCTATCTCGTGATAAAAATTCTTGATCTTTCTCTTTGATTACTTTGAAATTTTTCGAGAAATTTTGGCAAGTGAATTAAAAAAATTTTTATGATAAGAAAAATAATTTTCAAACTGTAAGATTTTTATTAAATTATATTTTAAAGAATAATTCATAATTTTTTTTTTGAATAAAAAAAATATTATTACTTATTAATCTCTTAAATCTTCTTTAAACAAATAATTTATTTAATATTTATTAAATAATTATTCTTTCGATAATTTATCTTTTAATAATTTTATAGAAATTATTATAGTAAATATATTTATTTCTTTTTTAATTTCTTTTTTTTGTTAAAAAAAATATTTGTAATAAAATATAATGTATTTTTTTGTTTTTACATTCTCTCCATGAAACTGTAATATGTAAAAGTTAAGGAATTTTTTTAAAAAACATTCAAAATAAAGAACGTAATAGATGTACGTGCATAATATTATTTTTGTACTAGTTAGAAAGCTTTAACAAGTTGAAACGACTTCGAAAAATCGTTAACTCGCACATGTGCATTACGTCATTGGTTCATGTAAGAACTGCTAAATGATGATGATTTGTTAGTTTATGAGCCTTTGTTACCATACCAATCATCAACAGAACTGTGATATCTATCTATAATAATGTAATGAAATTTTTTTTCAAATAAGAAAGATTATTCAATAGAATAATCTAAAAAATTTAACATAAACAATTCTCTCTATTTCAAATATATTTTATAAAAGATTACATCATCATTTGAAATTACATTGTAAATATATCCATTATTATTATCCAATTATTATACTAAGATACTTTTTGTATCTTCAAAAAACACTTGATAAATCTCATTAATGTACAAAATAAAACTCTCCAACTTTTTAAACCAAAAAGAAACAAGATAAATAGCAGCATAAATCTAGAAGCTTATTTTTCCATCGTTTCAAATGCTTTGAAAGTTTACATTTCGCGATCGTACGTCGCTCAAAATAATCAGAAACCGCTGCTTAAAATTTTATTGCATGTTCATATATTCAAAGCATTTATTCATGCATTTTATATTTGAATCATATGATTGAATAACTCTAGATTACATTATTAATAATTCCTGTAAATTTTTATATATTTCTTACATTTAAAAAAAGAAAACTATTGTCAATTATTTATCTAATTTTTAGATAATTAGATCAGAATTGAAAGAAAATTGAAATAAATATCAGAAGACTGAAATATTTGCATAAACAAATACTAAAAAATTTGAAGATATTATTTTTTTATGTATTTATTATTTCAGAGAAAAGCAATTGCAAAATAAGCTGTATATTTATATATTTCAAAAATCTATTTTCATAATCATGATCTACGCATACTTACATGAAATCTCAATTTTTGTTCTTCAGTTTCTATCGTGAGTTTAAAATTTAATATAAATTTTATTACGGCCTTGGGTGTTGCTCCTTCGTCTAAGCACGCCAAATCATGAGAGGGCCAGGTTTTGCGGAATCTCCGGTGTTTATAAACGTTTAATTGTCCATGGCCAACAACATTCGGCAAGCAGTTAGCTTGCCTATTACGATACACCGCATTGGAAGTACCGGGAAAACTATGCGATCTATTTTCGAGCTTGAGGATTCGCTGTTGTTGGGCGGACATACTCCGCTACTCTTCCTCTTTCGATTCAAAGAAAGCTCGTCTTTCCCCGACTGCTTTCGTCTTTGCCACCCGCGAAAACTGATGTATTTTTAGCTGAAGCTTCAAGGTTCTGGGATAGGAACGATAAATATGTTAAATTACAGAAAACAGAGATAAACTAATTAAAATTATATTTAAATTAATGATTAATAATGATTTTAAGACGAGGTAAAATAACTTAAAAAAGGAATTGTAAATAAATATTATAATGCCTTCTAAGTAAAGATCTTGAAACTCTTGAGTATTTTAAGATTCACAATTTACTATTTTATATTACCATTTTTTTTTCCTAGAAATATTATATTTGTATTCATAGTTTTCTTAAAAAAGAATATTATTCTTTGAATAATATTTCTTGGAAAAGAAAAAATATTTTTTTCAAGTGATAAATTGAAAAATATGTTTTGTGATGGTCTGTAAGACGAGTCAAAGTTTCATCTGTAGAGAATGCTTCTTTTATTTTGTTGTATCCCTCATATTCATTAGGAATAATTGCATTTTATTTCTCCCTATTCAACTAATTCCACAAGTGTTCAGAGAACTGATCTCATGAATAAATTTAAATTTGTCAATTTAAATATTAACTATTATTTATATAATACATATTTATATAATACATATTTCATTTGCTGAAATATATTATATTAAAGATGTATATTTGTGTGTTAATTTATTATATAATTTGTTAAAATTAAAACTTTTCATGAAATAAAATTAATGATAATGGATTATACATTACTAATATATTATATTATAATATTATAATATAATATATTTTTAATTCTAATTTTTTCAGAAAAAAATTTATTTGTTTTTAATTTTTTATACTAATTAATCAATAGTTTTAAGTTTTTTTGTTTTATAATTTGTATAATAACATTTTCACAATTAATTTAAATTGAATAAAAGCTTTAATACTAATTGTATGAATTATTTCAAATCATTTAATTTAAGCAAAGAATTAACCAAGACTGTTATTCAATTGAAAGCATTGATGCATCCAATTTTGAAAATAAGTTCGATACAATCTTAATGCATCTTGAAAGTACATACTTCGAAAAATATCGATAGATGTCTCTACAGATCATTTTACTGCAGCAAAGTTGATAACATAGAGTTCTTCATATGATTTCTTTATTCTACATATTCTTGAACAAAAAATCTTAAAATAAAAACTATAAATATACAATTAATTTATTATATATTATATAAATTATATAAATTTTAATAATTATTAATGATTAACATTATAATTACAATTAATATTATATCAATAATATTATCTTAACAAACATTAAAATATTAAAAATATAAAGATTGAAAAATTTAATAAATTAATAAACATTTATCTATAATAATCAAATTCTGTATCATTTTAAATATTTAAGTTTTATTAGTACTTTTAATTAATCTAACATAATGATTTTTAATAACTTTATTTTATATAATTATAAGAATATCATTAATTTCATTATATAAAAATCGGAAGGGAAAATTTTGGAGAGGAAAATTCCATGAAAATCGTTCTCTCTGTGAAATCGAATTGACAATTAAGTATTTAGGATAGCTGCGGGTCGCGTGTCAGGAAGAGTCATCTTCACCAGCATGATCATACGTAAAAACATATGGTTTATATATGGGATATAAAATAGGTACTCAAAGAAACTTGAGAAAACAATTTTACAGAGTACTCGACTATTGTTACTTTTAATTAATATTTTAAGAGCAATTTATCAATTATATTACTTGATAAAAAAAATATTATTATTGTCATATAAAAATTATAATATTTATATAGAATTATATTTATGCATAAATCATGAAAGTTACAAAATTTTATCTAAAATTTTAGAAAATTTCATAATTTCCATCGTATATATAAATTGAATTTATCGTAAATAAAATAAATTCTCGTTTCCCAAATCCACATTTCATTTTATTCTATTTCGATGTATTCGAAACCGATTTCAGGGGAGATTAGTCATGTTATTCTTATGCCACATTTCTGGATATGGGCGCAGTTTTCCGTTCCTTTGCACCCAAAATTCTGTGTAATCAGATCTAAAAACGTCCTCGTAAATTCCCACCCGCAGTCCTGTTATATTATTGTATATAAGTAGATGATCTTATGCGGGATGATATAAACTGCGTTTTTAGCCCCCTCTCGTAGCGTATATCAGAATCCGAATTTCTCGTTCTCACGAAATATGAGGGCATAGGTCCTCGATTAATTACTCGTCAATGTGAACTACCTTTTGATCGAAGAAATATTTGGATTCGTTTCTCATGAGAATCTATGCTTTGATATTCAATCCGTTCTTTTGTCCATTGCTTTGAAGAGTTTAATACAATATGGAAATATAATATATAATAAATTTATATTTATTTATCATATCTTATTATTGTATTTAACCTCATTTGTAAAAATATTAAAAATTGTATTTGTAAATTGTATTTATTTTATTAAAATATAATAAGTTTTTTGAAAAAGAAAATGCAATTAATATCTGTAACTAGAAAAAACATTAGATTTTTTAAACTCCCATTTTTTTATTTTATATATAAATTATTTATATAAAAAAAATTTATTCAAATATCATTATATTATATTATATTATATCATTATATAGAAAATTTTAATATGAAATATATAATTTAATAGAATTTTATAGAATAGTTTCAATACATAAATGAAGATATCATTACGAGAAACACCCTGCACGTGAATACAGAACGGGATGACGACGGATGTGACTACGTCGGGTTAATAAGGATGCGACGTCATCGGGCTGCGATGTTACATTTTCTCTTTTGAATCACGATTTCCGAATCTAAAAGTGCAATTAAATGATAGCTTAATTTTTGTTTCTATTAAAAACAATTTAAGAAAAATCTCAACATCATATCACAAATTCTAGCCCATGTTATTCTATAATATTACTTTATTCTAATCAATTTTGTGATCTTATATTATTTTTCTTATATATTTATTCGATTTTCATAATTTTATAATTTTTTATGTAATTTAATATTCTCTAATACTTCATTTAAATACTTCATTTTATTCTAATCAGTTTAGTGATATTATTTTGTTTGAATTATTGTATGTTATAATTTTTTATTATATATAACTTTTCATTTATTCTTATTTTAATTTAATATATTTTATTATAAATATATAATATATATTTTTATACTTTATTATCATTAAATAATATACTATCAAATAAAAGTTGGAAAATTAATTTGATTATTAATAGTCTAAATTATCTAATTTTTTAATATATATTCTATATTTTTCAATTTTCAAAGATTACCTTTTTAAATCTTATAATTAATAATCTAATCAATTTCCTACAGTATATATTTCATTCCCCTTAACTTTCAAATTCGACCCTTTATAATATCTTCATCCCATTTATTAATAATCTAATTTAGCTCGTTCTTCACCCTTCAATTCTCAAATCTTACCCTCTTCAACCACTTAATTTAATTATATATAATTCTACATTCTTTACATATCACTTTACATCATTAATTTTATTCTCTTGACTAATTTCTTACTTTATAATTCTTTTTAATAACTGTTTAAAGTAATCTTAAATCTCTTGTTTATTATTATATAAAAGATTGATATGAATAATCTTCAATCATTTCATTTTTCTCTTTTCTTTTAATTTTTCACTTGCACCTTCTCTTTTAATCTATATATCTATTCCACAGGTGTCTCACGCGGATCAAATACACCTGTTGCATACATTGAACCCACGTGGTTGTATCCAGATCTGAAAAGAGGAATTCAGTTTGAATCAAATCTCAGGTAGAGATCATATAAGGATTTTGAATAGAGAATGTGTATATCGAAAATTTCCAAGCTCTTTGTATCTTGTATCGACTACCAGTATTCCTCGAAATACGGCAAGTTTTCATTTGGTCATCTTCCTACGCTTTGACGCGTGAAATGTACCAGCATGATATAAAATGACTAATACTGATGATGCCCTAACTACTGAGGGACTGTTGCTCGCTCGCCAACGTTTCCATGAGGGTGAAAAAAAAAAAGAAACGTTTATTGTGATCTCGATCACAATAAGAATCTCGCGACGGTCATGTGGGCACGTTAATTCATAAACTACGATTGTCATAATTGTCTTCTCTAACAAACATTATCCTGACATTATTGTAATTTCTATGGTTTAAGGAAAACTTGGAAAACTGAGGAAGAAAAAATGAGGAAAGAAATTATTAGATTTTAAATTCAAAAAGTAAAAATTACATTACAATAAATGATTATGATGGAAATTCTCTGTATGAGGATGATTTTATTTTCGTTGAATCGATCGAAATAATCGATTAAATTTATAGTAATAAATTTTTCCAATTTTATTAATTTTATAAGAAAGCAAATTTGTAATTTTATAAAAAGTCATATTATGCAACAAATGTGTAATAATATTAAATAAAATTGAAACTTAACTTCTTCAAAATTTTTAATATAAATTTTTTCTGTAAAAAATATGAATCGATATAAAAATATTCATAGACTAGGAATCCGAAGCAATTTACAAATATTTCGAAAAATTTATATTATATTATATTGTGAAAAATTGTTAAAGAAAATAGATACTCCGTTGTCTAAACAAGAATTATAATTTATAATTATAATTTTTAAAATTCAAGTTGTAAGAAATAATATTTTTAATTTTGAAATTTTTTCAAACATAATATAATATAAATAATATAAATTGAAATGAATAATTTATTAAAAATATTAGCAAAACCATTCTTTCAATAATTTGTATTATAAAATCTAATTTTCACATAAGATCATATTCAATTAAGTATTTTAAACAATTTACGTATCAAATCAGTCTCATAAAATATTATTCGACTATTCGAGTAGTTATATATTGCAGACTGTACCCTGGAGGAAGTCCCGAGAATACAGCGATATCAGCGTGAAGAGAGAAACGCAAGCATGGCTGGCAAACAGAGAGCGGAGGTTCCCCGTCGTATTCGCGCAATTACGTCCAATTGAACTAATTTAGACCAATTGACGTTAACAGGCTCAATTGGTCGGCCCTGTCAGCCTGGCCACACGGCAATACTATCCGGTCGGCATACCTACGACGTAAAAAAAAAGAGGCTCGCGTGCAAAAAGTCGCTCGGATAGTCCCTCTCCTCTTCATCTCGTTTCCTTCTGTCGCTCGATCTAAATATACTTTTCATCGAGAATATCTTTCCTTTCTTTGTTTGGTTTCTATCAACTTGCTCCATTCTCCGCATAAAAATTTATAGATATATTAAAGATATATAAATTTATAGATATACATGGTATGAAAATATTCTATGTGTTTTCTTTATTCTAAAAGAAAAAATAAAATAAAATAAGGAAAAGTGAGGAAAGGAATTATTAGATTTTAAATTCAAAAAGTAAAAATTACATTACAATAATAAATTAATATTTGAAGTATATTATATTTGCTAGATTTTGAATAAATAAAATTAGATTTAAATTAATTGATTAATTTTAAAAAATAGATTTAATAAAAATTAAAAAATTGAACAAATTGAACAATTGTTGAAAAATTGATATACGAAAAATGTAAATAATGAATTATTTATGGGGTGGAATAGTGGTAAGATGGAAGTTACAACGTTCTCTACTATTGAGAGAGAATACCATCGGAAGGGGAAGAGGTGGAGCCGAGGAACTCCTTCTATTCTGCTAGTGGAGGTAGTGGGAGAGGAACGTATCGTATCTACTTCGTTCTTATCTTTCCTCCAGGTTTCTTCCCCTCTCTAGTTACCAATGAAATGGTTGGTGGGAGATAATTATTCTATTTTTTCTTTCTTTTGCTATCAATATCCCCCACTTTCCATCTATCTTCTGCTTATTTTATATATTAAATCTTGTGGTTTTTTTTATTACAGAATACATGTATTCTTATTCAATGAAAATTTATTGTTATATAATAATGATGACTTCTTGATTCAATATTTTGAATTGTTTTATGAATATCGAGTATTAAATACAATTTAATATTATAAGAAGTTTTTTATTATATATGGATTACATTGATATTTGCAAAGATTTTAATTTTATATTATCTTCAAAAATGTAAGAATATAAAATATACCCATAATATATAAATGTAAGCATAAATCTGAAAAAAATTAATATAATATTTATAAGTATATAATATAATAATTTTAATTAAATAAAAAAATCTTTAAAAAATTATAATTTCATCACTGATTTAATTTAATTACATTTAATAAAATTAAATAAATTTG